ATCGCGGTGCACACGTTATACTTTCGACGAACTGACTTTTCTACTTTGTTATTTATGATACAATGAAAAAGGATGACTAGCGCTGAGTGTTTACAATGGTGTAATATATTCATTGTAAGACCTTCAGACACTCCAGACCACTGAGATCTCGTCGATTCTTTTATTTGACGAATACGAAGAAGAGAGAACGCGGTGTTGCAAAGTTATTTGTGAGACAGCTTCGGAGGAAACGAAGCGTCCGACGATTGTTGCGTTAATTAAGAAGATACGACGCTAAAGATATTCAAATGTTATGCTTTTCGTCGGGGGGACATTCGTTTCAGGTACGAAGCGCCCAGCGCAAGAATAATTCTCGACGTGAGACACTCGCGAAAAAATGCGCGCGCGAAAAAATACGCAAAACTGAAAAAACGACGTCATACATTCGCGACGGGCTAAAAATCACGACACTTCCGGTTTACGCCGGCCGTTTCACGACCGTCATCCCTCGTCGAGACGAGCGGCGCGTCCCTATGTTATATTACCGCTGCGTATTTATGCGCGCGTAAAAAAATACACGCGCGCAGATAACGCGCTAATACACGAGCGACCCTTCGGCCCTTGGTGCGTCCGGGGCTCCCTATCCGAATGCATCGCGTGCGCTTTTACGCGCGCATCGGAAAGTGCCCTTTTAAACCGACCGCACACACATACGCCGGAAAAAAAGCCCTAACTCTTTTTTTTTTCCCCAAATTATCAACGACTCTTGATGACCCTTTACATCGTTTGTGGACTTTGTCTCGTGACGCTTCGCGTTACAAAAATGTGTTTTGCACGGGCGCAATTTCGGTGACACCACATAAGGATTGCGAATTCCGAAATAGAATTAAAAACGGCGGTAACAAATAACGTGAAAAACAAAAAAAAAAGAAAAAAAGAAAAAAGCGGCAGAGAAAAAAACGTAAAATATTGAAACACAGCGAGAAAAAATAATATTTGCACGACGTATTTTCCGGGATGCGGGGCGGTTCGGAATTACCCGGCGTTCGCTCTTACAACGCATTCGGATATCTATAAATAAATAATTTTTTTTTCCACCATGTGCTACTTTCGCTCGTACATACATAACGCGTGTCTCGCCGACGGTTACATCTATCTATTTATTTCATTCGCGTCTCTACACACAGTTCGATATCTGACAGATATTCCACGCGGGTACATATACATATATCCGATCTGTGAAAGCTGTTCATAAACAAAAGCATAGCGACGCTATTTTTTTTGTCCTCCCCTTCTCCCATGTTACATCGTGTCGTTCGCGGCTCGTAAGTTCGCTCTTGCACCTTCGACGAGGGCCGCAATCGCGCAGCGCGCGATGCCACGTTGCAGGTGCCAGCGTGGACGACTGTAAATGGTGACAGGGGGCGGGCGGAGGGAGGAATGGGACGGCTAGGCGCGGAGGGTGGGGCGGGGGAGAACGAGGGAGCACGGAAATGCAGATATTTGCCAGGAAATTGATAACTCGAATAAACTCGTCGCAAAACATTCAAACAGGCTGCCAAACGGTACGATTGCACACTCCACCCCCGGCTGCGAGCCAAACACCGCGTATTCCCGACGCAACGGCTGTACATACGTTCGCGGGAGTGATACGAGCACGACCGATACAATGTGCGCGTATTACTTGTACGCGCCGGCGTATTCTCTCTTTCTCTCTCTCTCTCTCTGCACCGGCGGACTGATTACGAACGGATTCACCGGGCGATTTTGTTCCGACCTGTGACCAGAAATCGCTGGCGATTCTCCATTAACGACCGGCCGATTAGAAACGACTCTGCGGGCTGTGCTTTGTAATAATGACGCGAACAAGTGCGCGTTGCCTGCTCGAAATATATTCTTCGACGTTGATGATATATCGATTTGTGAAAGCCTCGTGCACACAATCGCGACTGTATATTTCGTATATTGTTGTTGCAAAATCGTTCAAAAATTGAAGACATCAGCGTTGTCATATATATATATATATATTTTTTTTTTTTCGGTACATTGGCGTTATTTTCATTTTTGTTCCTTCGTGACGTAACGTAAGAATTCGTAACGATAATTTTCCAGCGAACGAGCGCGGAAACGCGCGTCCGCGCGGCAGGCGCGTACACGAAATCGGCCGGGATTTTCCTACCGACAATAAAATTCAAGAGCGATAATCGCTATTGAAACGACGATAGTCGATTATAGAAACTTGCGGCCGCGTTTACAAACACACGCGTTACAGACGCGAGTCAATATTAACTCGATATTTTTGCCGCGCCATTAGAGTCAAATAAACGCAATGTAAATTGCACGATACGGTAGCGTCATGGTTATTTGCCATAAATACCGGTGAAGCACGAGCGCGAGCGTATGTCAACCGCGCGTCTGTACGAACCCTTCACGAAGCCGCTCAAAAAGGGCGCAAGTGTGTAATGAAAATACCGCACTGTGGAGTATAAAATAGGCGCGCGCGCGCGCCCGATTGCATAATAGCACACGAGATGTGGAACAATACGCTAATAATATTCCCGGCGCTGCGCAACTCGCGTCAGCGACGAAGAGAGTTTCAACAAACCGAGCATACTTCACAAAACAGCAGTATGCGGGAGAAACAGTTCCTCTTTCCTGCTACTTGAAACAGACCTCGATAGAGGTCTGCGCTGAGCTGAATTGATCGAAGAATCACGCGCAAAGAGGAACGTGCGGAGGATTTCGAGGGGGGATCATATTCTACGTCCCATTGCTTACCTTATTCATCGCTGTTATTTTAATCCCCGCGCTATTTCTATCCTACCTGTCGTTGTCGTGAAAGAGCATTCGCTTCCGTTCCCTCTCCCTCTCGGCGCGCGGTAGATATTAGGACGACAGTAATTTAAGCGGAATGAACGGCGTGCGAAAGTCGCAACGCGACGCGCGTCTCGTCGGCGTCTCAGCAAAGTTTTATACGTACGACGACGTCGCCGCCTTCGAATTGGTCGCGAATGCGGGAGCAAGACGACGGCGTGCGTGTAATAACAATTCGCGCAGTCAAACATGGCTCTTCTCCAGGAGACACACGAGTAATTTCACGCAACGGCTGTTCTCCTCGTTGCGCGATGCGACGCGTCATCACAAAGTTAGTATCGTCTAATTAACGGTGTGCTAACGTCGCGGCGCTGTCAAAGGGCCTCGTTATCCCCGCGTCAACGCTTCGCCGGAATAAATAAAAAAGAAGAGTAGAAAACGAGAGTAGAAGCGAAGGGAGAGACCTTCCGTGCGTCTCCGAGCTCTTTTTCTCTTTCGCAATTAAACGAAAATTAGTCGAGAGAAAGAGAAACGGTGCCGGGACGGACGAGCGGGCTGACCGCCGCGCGCTTTTTTGCCGGCAGTTAATTTGCACAAAGAGGCCGAAAGTATGATTTCGGGATGCGAGATCGCTGCAAGTTAACAGCAAAATTTCGCTCACTCGTGTCGCGAAACTCGCAACAAATACTCGATCAATCGGATCGATCGGATGGCGGCTGAGCCGCTGCAAACGCCGACGGTCGTATCGTCGTTTTCCACGACAAGATTACGCGAATCACTCACGCGTCATCTTTAATGCAGCGCGAATCAAGCGGAATCTCATTACTGCCATTTCTCCCTGTAAACGGTGATTTCTTCTCTCGGCGGGCGGAATTCGCGAAAGACGCGCGCGGAAAAAGCAGCGACGACAACGGCGACCGAGGCCGCCGAGGGAAAAATGGATGGCTCTATCTTTCGGTAATTAAGACAGCGGCGAAAAATAAACAAACGCGCGCGGCACAGAGGACGAGCCCTCCGGGGCTGCCCCGTGGCACAGCTGTTACGTCGCCAGGGGGCTCAAATAAACGACTTAGGTAGATTAAGCATACAAATCTCGCTGGGCTGCGCTCTCTTGCAGGCCCCGAGCCACTCGCGTTATTCGGGGTCATCGTGAAAAAATATACGGGGTGTCCACCCCGGGCGTTCTCTCGCGCCGCGAGATCCGCGACGATACGCGTCCTCGAACAATATACGGCGAGTGTTGCCCTCTCTCTCTCCCTCTCTCTCTGTGTGTGTGTGTGTGTGTGTACGCTCTCGCTTATCTTCTTGAGACGCGGCAACGCGCGCTTCGAAAGTCTCGGACACGCAGCTGAGTTTGTTTACCGTGCGGAACGCGCGCTCTCGAAGATCAACGCGGCGGGTTCTTTTTGTTGACGTTACCTCTCGATCGGGTCGTTTCTCGCGAGAGCACTCGCGAGAAGGGGGGATTTCTGAGGATATTCTGCGATCCCTTCGAGACGCGATGTCTCGTTAATGTGTATTAACGAAGCTCAGCGAATAACACCAAAGGGGTTGCAAGTGAGAAATTAATATTGAGATTACTCCGATTAATATCGCGCGAAGAACGAACGACATCAACGTACGTGTCACGACAGTGACGTGTGTCGTGTATGTTAATTAAATCGGGTGCAAATCAAGTTCTCACATTCTAGTAAGGCAATAACGACTCACTGCGCTGATCGTCAGTCGCTCGTTCATCGAACATTTACAAACTTACGTGGATGCGGAGCAACTCCGAGAGTGGACGATACTAATCTTTATATTTCATCAAAATCGATTTGTGATTGATTACTGTTTCAATTGTAACAATTTTATATTACCGTCCATAAAATGTTTATACAAGTTATAAAATGTTAAATAAGTTTAATAAGGCAATTTACCGACGAAATATAAATATATATTTTTCTCTATTGCATTACAAAAAAGAAATCATTTCTTTTCTTTCCTTATTCCATCCCATTAATTACGAAATAACTGGAAATAAATTTGTCTTCCGTATAAGATCAAATATATACCTTTCCTCCTCAACATCTTCGTCGAGAATTTCAGTTCTTGACAAGCTTAAGGATCTCAATCCGCTCGGTCAAACCACTCTCGAAGCCGTCCACGCGCCGTAACGATAAGTGAAAAAAGCTAAAATCGTGCAGGCATATTTTCGTCGTACTCACGTCTGTATGGTCGTCCCTCCTCCGGAGTGGATCGTTCGGTGTTTTCAGAGCCGGGTGTAGCGTTGGCGTCGCGGTCCTCCTCATCGGGGGTAGCGCCGCGATTCGGCACAGAACCGGTACCGCCGGTACCGGTGGGCGATCGGCTGGCGGAACCGGCCGGACTCTGCGGGCCCCCGACTTCCTGGCTGGCCGCGGCGGCGGCGGCGGCGGCGGCTGCGACGGCCGCCGCGCCGGAAACAGACACCACCGCACCCCCGCCGGCGCCCGGTAGGGACGTGGGCGAGAACATGTTTGACATGCTCGTGAGCGAGCCGATGCTGGGCAGGCCGCCGTTTCCGGGCACCGCGCCGTTCCCGGTCTCGACCTTGAGGCACTTGCTGGGGGGCGCGAACGCGGACGGCACCAGAGGCCGGAACCCGCCGAAGGGTAGTCTATGGTCGAGCGGGTGCAGGAATTGCGGCGGCAGATGCAGCATGTGATGCAAGCCGTAGCCCAGCGACGCCGCCGTGCTGAAGGGCACCTGCAGGTCCTTCGAGTCGGTTACCTGGGGAAGAAAAGAAAGAAGCGGTTAAAAGAGAAAAAAGCCAGGTAGGGATGAGGTTTCAACTCTTGGTTAGAATCTGACTCCATCGTGAATAAATTCTCGTATACATGAACATTTGTGCGGAACTGTGTTTCTGACTGCCGGATGAAGCGTAGTGATGAAGTTGGTGAAAAGTAAATCGCCGGGTAAATAAACTTCAACTATTAACGACGTATAGCTCAGGCAAACCGGTGAAAACGTGTCTCGTGCGACTTGAACGTGAGAATTGACAAAGTTCCCGCACGGGTACGAGCGTGCGAGATTAGCTGTGCTGAAGAAATTAGTCGAGCATTTAAATGGCTTAACCGTTCAACACGCAATGGATTTCCCATGGCAAAATTTCGTCACTCAGTTGAGCGTACCGCTAATTTTTGCGAATCGCGCATCTTTAATCCTCATTCCGCATCAACTTCAATGCTATCGACATTTGGAGGACAAAGGAATCCTTGATATTTACTCCGATTTCCGAGAAACACGTTATCGGGCGCGTTATCGAGCCCGAGGCGATAACTTTATGCCGTGTCCACGATGAACGGAAAAATGTTCGAATCGCGTATTCGCAACTTGATAGCTCATTTGCAGCGTGTGGGTATTTCCGCGCTTTCGGCTACGTCTGAATGGCATATAATATCAAAGCAGCGTGGTGGTATACTGTTAATAACGTGAAACCACTGTGTTATAATAATCCGTCAAAACCTGAAGCTCTTCTCCCTCCTGCCCCTCCCCCGCTCTCCCCCCGCGGCCGCACACGCCGTTCGGCCCCTTCCAATCCCGTCAGTTGTATCATTCAATTCGCCGTGATTGACGAGTCTATTAAGCCGCATACTGAATACTCGGCTGAAGCATCTACGCATTGGGTTTTGTAACATTTATAATGCCGGAATAATCGGGACGTATTAAACGCACGAGAACCAAGTAATATAACGGGAGCGGGACTTTGCGCTGCCGGTGTGTCTCGACTTGCCGTAAAATGTAAAATAACGCGCGAATGACGTGAAAGGATTGTTGCCTCGACGCTTGACCTCGAGGCATATCGTCTCGACGACGGCGTGCGCGTGTGTATCAATACGTCGTATAATTTTCCAAATATTTACAAAACTATTTTTGATATTTATTATCAAGAGGAAATTGTTCATTATTTCATATTTTGCGAAAATCTACCAGAGTATCTACCAGAGTACGTGTGCGGTTTTAAAAAACCGGGAAACTGTTCGCTCGTTGTTTCCGTTATCGGGGAGGATATAAATATGTGTACCGAGTATATATTTCGAGATCGCTGCAATTTCTTTTAATCGCGTATATTTTCAACGTGATACAAAACTCTACTTCGCGATGGACTGTCGATTCGTGTAGAATTAGAGAAAAAAGAGGGGGGAGAGAGAGAGAGAGAGAGAGAGAGAGAGAGAGAGAACTCAACGCCAAATTTATCTCCGTGTAAAAGCACAAAGTACAAAAAGCCATGGTTCACCGTCGACATCCCCCGCACGACTAAGTGATGTAGAGTACAGAACGGAAGTCCGAAATGATTCCATCGGCGAGAACGGACAGCTGGTTTCCGAATAAACATTTCATTCGGCCGATAATGACGCGGGCGATGAGTTACACGCGCGGGTATTAGTACGCCGCGATTAGTTTATTATTCTTTTATACGGGGAAATGAGGTTCGCTCGACCCGGCCCGGCATATTTGCGCTCGCGGTCCAATCAGTGATTTATTAGGTATTCATTATTATTTTAATTGCGGCCCCTGCCCTTTTTTCACGACCGACCGCGCGACGCGCGCCGCTTGCATATTTGCAATAATCTTCTTTTTTTATCCTCTCATACACACACACACACTCTCTCTCTCTCTCTCTCTCTCTCTCTCTCTCTCTCTCTCTCTCTCTCTCTCTCTCTCTCTCTCTCTCTTTCTCTCTCCGTCTCTCTCTTTCTCTCTCTCCCGTAAGCGACGAAACGCGAATGTATTTTGTCATCACGCCACCGCAATTAGGTTCGCCCCGAAATTATCTCATTTTTTAACGACGCTGAATTTTGATGCAACCCGCTCTCTCTTTCTCTCTCTCTCTCTCTCTCTCTCTCTCTCTCTCTCTCTCTCTCTCTTTCTCTCTGTCTCTTTGTCTCGCTTGCAACACCGGCAATGTTCTGTATCTACCGTTAGCGTGTTATCCGCGCCCGATTGATGTCCCGCGCGTATGAAAAATATTCAAGCGCGTTTAAAAACGCCGCCGTATTCGTTTATAATTAACCACGCCGTCCGTTCGTTAAATGTTTGCAGCAATCGCGGTTATGAGATAGTAATATGCGCAGAATAAAATGGTACCTCTTAAATAAATCTCGTTATTATCGGAAGTTTCATTATGATATTTTCTACAATTCGCGTTGTGAGACACACGTTGGAAAACGCCACGTAAAATTGATCGATTAATTCTCGTAAGAAAAACAAATAATTCGCAGTTATTCCGCACAAATGGTACTCACAACTAGTTTCAATTGTGTATCATAGATTTTTAATCATAAAGAATATACTTACTGCATGTGCATCGCTGTTTCCGTTCTTTTTTTTTTTTTTAATTATAGTTTGTAACAGTACATAAATGTCACAGATAGATCTAGCGATACGCAATTTATGATATACGCTTCTCTTCGTGGTTTTGTAACGTGAAAGATGAATATAAAAATTTTCATATTTTTATTTAAACTTTACGGCACGTATGTGTGCGTGCGTGCGCGGCAGCGAGTAAGCCGCACAAATAGTTGAATTTATAGCACGTGATATAGCATCGTGATAAATATATTTTTCATTTCGACATTTATTTTATATCTGTAGACGAACTGCCTGTGAAACGAAACAATAATCTCTGCTCCTCGACAGAAGAAAATTGCGCATCACTGGCTTAATATTACCTATTATTCGTGCATGCACATCTATACACACGCGCACAGGCAAGTTTCTATTCATCGCGCGCATTAATTAGTACCCGCGTGCACATAAAGCGGCACAGACATGCAAAGCGGAATGAGAGTAACTCGAGCTGTTCGACGCGTGCGCTCGTTGAAATCAATGCCAGCAATTATTTTTTGTGTTATTTGTTTATTTTATACACATTTCAAGTTGTTTTTCTGCCAAATCGTGATGTACGTTACCGTCGAACACGATACACTCGAATTACCGCAGTGCAGTTTCGATGCATATGATGCGAGCGTGAAAGTGATTTAACCCTTTCAGATTCTCTGATAAATCCCACTCGTCGCCCCATCGACATAGTAAAACATTCGTGCGAATAATGTTAATTCAAACAATCCGACAGAATAATTGTTCCGCGTACTTATAAATAATTACCGCGAAACGCGCGGCTGCTTTACGTCAATCCGCAAAAAAAAAAGAAAAAAAAAAAAGAAAAAAGAAAGGAAAAAAGAAACGTACACAATGAGTATTCAGTTTAGATCAGTTTAGAATCGAAACGACGAGCGCGACTGTGTCAATCGCCGCTAAAACGCAAACGTGAAATTCTTACGACACGAGAGAGAAGCTGGAAATCCGCATCTGAAAGTCAAAGGATTAAAGCGTGTTTCGCGGCCATGCGAAAGTGCACCGTAGTAACCCGTATAAGTGCAAGCTGATGCGGAGACTTAGGCTTAGGCGTTAGAAGGGCAAGGACAATGGGACACTAACTTGTGGATTGAAGGGTCTTTGCATTCTCAAGGCCTCGGGCAGCGTTCCGGGCTGCGAGAATACGACCAGAGACGGCGGCGGTAGATGATTCGGAACGTATGCAGAATTATCCATCTAAAACATATATCGCCGTTTTCTTCTCCCCTCCGTGTCTCGTCGCTCATAATCGCTCTCCTATCCTTAGTATCACGATCGGTGACGCGAAACTCGAGAGAAAATCTCGCGCGAGAGCGCGTCCGCGGAAGACGACGTCCCGATGTACCGCATTAATCGCGTTTAACGGTTAATCGGCCGTTAATTGTTAAGCGGATTTACGAGTTAATCGGGTTTTCGCGGATTTTCCACGATAATGTAATTGCGAATGCATTATTCGTCGCGCGAGACCTGTGTTCGCCTCTCGACTGGTGATTATTTTTGCTCAATTTGTTGTTCGTATCGTGCCTTTTGGAAAAATTAAATTTCTAACATCCCTTTTCTGTCAATAAAAAAAAGAAAAACACGCGCGCACCGGGTCAGTTTTTCGCAAATTTCCGTCAAGATTTTCTAAATGTACACTTTCTGTCTCGCTGAAATATTGATGCAGATGAGGGCTACATCATCCTTATACTTATTTCCGACAAGTTATTAGAAATTGAGAGTTCTTAATAATCTCCTCCCCTTTATTCGACAAATATTTCTCAACAATGACTCTTCAAAAATTTACTATCCCATTCGAAAAAAGCATTTAATATATTGTACTTTGGCAAAATTTCGATTAATCCTTATCGTGGTTGTAGCGTAATTTAAATTTTACGGTTTCAAGTCAAACACAACTGGACACCGAATAGTCACCGATCGAGAAGCAAATGCAATTAATACGCTCGGCAATGAGAACGATGTGACGCATTGATTACATCGATGAGAATTACGTTGTGTGGCTCAGGAATGGAATAAATTTACGATCTTGTTCGATTTCTTATCGATGTTCCGCGGAAAATAGACCGATTTATTACAAAAACGCAGGATAAAAATAACCAGAACACTTCTCGCCTATTTCGATGATCGGAAAGCAATATTCGGTAATATTTTAATTGCATTTCCAAAATAAATTTCCAAATGTTAGAATTTCAGTCGTCATTACTCATCTCGCGTCTCGGATACATGAGAGCGCTACGTTCCGAATATATGAATCGCGAAGAAAAATTTCTACAATTTCAGGTCACGCCTGTATCTGTTTTGTGGTATGCGCGAACACTTCAATTATTTCTTCAAATCATAAACTCAATCGTCTCAATCGTCGATTAAATGTCAGATCCGGGAGTCTTAAATCATTACACATCCTCGAGAACCCCGACTCTAAATGCTCGACGCTCTGTACTCTAAAATGCGCATACTATATATAACGTTTTGAAATCACCAATATCTCAGTATTTATCGAATTAATTACAAAATTGCCCACGTCGTTTAATACAAAGTATCGATTAAAATATAAATATAAATACGGAGACGCTATTTGAATCTGCAAAAAGTCACGAAGCGAGATGATCGATAAGTAAATAATGCACATTATCGGATATTACTGACATTATCGCGATTGTTGCTCGAAAAAAAGGAAAAAAAGAAATAAATAAGCAGACAGCAGCGAGTGTGTTCACAATTTACTCGATATTTTCTTCCGCAAAACGCTATTTAATGGAACACATCAACGTGTCGCGGCACGAGACCGCGGTACACCGCGTGTATCATTAATTATCGCGATTGTCAATTAATCACCAGTGTTGGGTCGGGTGTCGAACCGCCGACAATTTCTGCTACTTCTAACCTTTCAACCAGAAAGCTATCGAATTCGATCCGCGAGTAATTACGTCGATCGATGGCCAGACCGCCTTCTCCTGAGCGACGGCCGATCGAGCGAGGATATTCGCGTCGATAGAAATATTAGCGATAACGACGTACGACTAATACGTCGATTTCCGAACTCGACAGATTTTTTTACAAAGACGATTGACGAAAGGGGCTCTTCTGTACTTGGGATACTCGACCGTTTTCTCATCTTATCTCTGCCTGATTTCTTTCCACCGCGAGATTCGGAGAGTCGGAACGAAGAAGAGAGAAGAAATAAAACAAAAATCCGGGATGAAAGTTAATATTTCGCGTAATTTCGCGGTGATTCGCAGTATAGAAAATAACGATACTGAACTGTTCGGCACGGCGTGAAGAGTGAAATAATTATAATCACAATGATTATAATCACTGGCTTTGTCATTTGATGATGAGCAATTTTGCGCAGTCGAAGTTTTAACACAGCTTCTCGCACACATCTAACGCGTAATGCGATAATGCCGTTAATATGACAAAAGTAATGCAAGTGACAACCGATTGAAAATGTTACTTTGGGCAAACAGGTTTCGCATTCACTTCACGTCTAAATCATTTTATCCCCATGTGAATATTGAAATGTACATATGCGGCGTTCGCGCGCGCGAAATTTCATTCCCCTCTCTTACGATAATAACGTTATGCGGGCGTTTTCGTTGCAATTTTTCGCACAATGTTAACACGATACCCTTGTCGTCCGGCAACGTACGGCAACGTACAGATCCAAACGCGAATCGCGGTGATTTTTAAACGATCTGCTCTCGTCCATCGGCGACGGTTCAGTAGCGCGCAGATACGAGCCCCTCGTCAATCGCTCGTGAATCAGCTGCTTCGAGCCGATATTTTTCAGGAGTTTATCTAATCGGCTAATACGCAACCGTCGTTAAGGAAACTACATGTAACGAGTCTAGAAATTCAGAGTCATTATTCTGACACACCGTACGTGGAGATCCGATAGTTTCGAAACAATATCCGTGATAAAATACCGCGCGCGGTATCTGATCTCCGTGACGTCGAACTCTGGTCCGAGGCGAACGCGAGTACAATTAAACACAAAGTATACCATGAAGTGACAGATCTCTCCTACGACATTGCATCGACAGCTGACGATGTTCCCAGGCAAGTTCGACGGCACTTTCGCGATGTTGATCGCGAAATCGAAGCGCGAAACCGCTTCGCGGAACTTCAGAATCAGGCAACGCTTTCGTGCGAGAAGAGAGAAGGAATTCCCGCGAGAGCCACTCTCGCTGCGACGTTCGCGCGCTCCGCACGAACGCGGAATCCACTGAAGTTCGAAGAGCGAAATCAAGCGGAGAACGGATCCGCGAATCCGGGCCACGATGTTCTCATTGCTCGAGCGCGGGAATGGCAAACTCGCGCGCAACGCAACGCGCAACGTGACACGACACGACGCGACGCGACGCAACGCAACGCAACGCAACGCAACGCGACGCGACGCGACGCGACGCGACGAGCCGAAGCGCGAGATCAGCGCTGCGCTCACGGGCGCGAAAGCATGACATGTTTATCACCAGTGCGCGTACGTTTTCCTCGTGTGCACTGAGAAACTGGTGCGCGGCTGGCCGCGGCACGCGGCTGTCCGAGAACATTCACAGAACCTCACAGGGTCCGCTGCTTGTCTCCGTCGCTGCGCGTATCCACCAGACGCGAATGCGACAACTTCAACAACAACATTAACAACAACGGTGGCGGTGGCGACGACGACGGCGACGGCGACGGCGGCGGCGACGACGACGATGATGACGACGACGGCGACGGCGACGACGACGACGACGACGACGACGACGACGACGGCGACGGCGACGGCGACAAGAAAAACTCGCGGCGCACCATCCTCTCAAACGTTCCCGCTGTTTCGAAAAACGCGCGTCGGTCTAACGTCGCTCCACCTAACCTGCAGGCGCGCGCAGCAGCTGTCAGTCGTGGCCGACGACGATCACAAAGCCGCGCGACCGGCCGGCAGGCAGACAACGACGACGGTCCACCACGGGAGAGATCGTCCTCGGACGTACGGGACTGTGTGTGACACGCGCGCAAGTAAACGTGCGACACCCAACGCGGAGCAGTCGTGGACACAGGCGCGGGTGGCCGCGTTCGAAAATTCAAATCCGCCGCGCCGCGTCCCGCCACTACGACCGACAGGTCCGGCGACCTAACCTCAACCGCGGCTGTAGTATCCGCGTCCAGTATCTCGACTGGCGATCGGTATCACCCCCGTTCGGGCTGTGTAACGCACTGCTCGTATTGAGAGTCAGGTGAATGAAAGAGTAAGAGAGAGAAAGAGAGAGAGAGAGAGGGGAGGATGTGTGGTGAGACAGAGAGGGGGGAAGAGAGCAAGACAGAGAATGACAGAACAGGGGTTACGAACGAGCGAAGCAAAAGGGAGAGAGAGAGAGAGAGAGAGGGAGAGAGAGGATGCCGCCAGGCCCGTGCGAGCAACCTCGTGGACATGCGAGTGCAGACTGATTGGAGCGTGGAGTGTGAGGGTACTTACCCACGAGTCGCGGGATCGGCGGCGGTGGCGGTGGCGGAGGCGAGGTAGAGGCGTGGAGGCACCGACCGGCGGCAGCGGTGGCGGTGGTAGCGGCGTGCGCGTGTGTTTCCGCCGCCATGACTGGCGCCACCGTAGCGACGACAGCACAAGCTCGCCAACGCGCACGCGCAACCTGCGCAGTTGTGCGCCGCGCAACCACGCGCGACGCTTCCCGCGGAGCTCAATCGCGCACAGGACGCGCAGCCAGCAGCACGCGTTGTGTGTACAGCTTCCATCGTGATCACGCGCTTCAATTTGGACGGTGCCGCGAGCCAGTCGAGTCCTGTTTGTTCTTCGACCGGTGTTCCTGCGCCATCCGCGGTTATCCGCGTACTTTCGCTTTGAGGCTTCGAATAAAGCTCGCGATACATCGTCGCTGAAAATACGATGAAAACACCTGTTTGTTTCTACCTTCATCATGGGCATGAAATTCGATCTCTTTAGGAACTCGGAATTTTTGGACCTGGATAGTTGTGTTTGATATTGGAAACATTGTGAAAAGAATGTTTTGACATTTACGTGACTGAAATGGGCAGTCGTGATTCTTTCCGATCATAAAATTGTTAAAAGAATTTATGATAATCTTTGAGTAAGGAATCATGCTAGCATTACTACATTATGAATAACTTTTCATAAATATATGCTTAATATATATATATATATATAAGATACTTTTCAAATGTTTTGACTTCCGTATAGTCTTATAGGCTGTTTGGTGTTTAAATATATATTTGTGTATATTCATTACACTTTATTTTATAACAATTTATTTATTTTTCTCTTCTATAAACGTCCTGATTATTAATGTATGACACTACAGTAACAATATACAAATAAACATTAGATGTTAAATATAAAATTTCAGAATAGAATAATTGAAATAAATACAAAAATTTTGAGTAAATAAACAGAAAAAATATAAAATAAAATATTAATTTACTGTTTTGGAAACGCATTTTTGTCTTATAATAAAAGGGTCAGGAAAATATGTAGTTCTTATATTAGCATATATTAATCGAATGTGAGATGATACGTGGAAATGACGAATTGTTTTAATAATAATTAAATGCAAAGAGAAATAAATTTCAAACTGAAAGCTAAGATCAAACGTCCACCTGATACTTAAATCAAACCAAAAATTAAAGTCTAATTGCAATTTAATACATAAATCAGTATTCAAAGAATTATTTAATTTATACGGCGAAATCTATTCGAGCTTCGCGCTTGCATCACAAATTAATTAATTCAATTACTATCTAACATTACTGAGCGCATGTGGCTTCAGGATTCATATTTCGAAACTACGAACTGTTTATGAAACAACTGCCAATTACTAAGCCACGGCAATTAATCAGTAAACTAACCGCAATAGCACTTGAGTGATTATTAATAATAACTATTAATTAATACATATGTAATTATCATGTTAATCGCGTTATATTTTCGTACAACGAAAGATGCCAAAAAACTCTTTCAATTTTTAATGATTTCACGAAACTAGACGCGTCATCTAGCGGAGAGGTAGAAAATTATAAAATTTATTTTCTCAATCAATCATAAAGGAGAAGCAATATCTAATATGACACAAGAATGAATAATTACAAGATATGATTACATCATTAGAATACGAATCGACATGATATTTTTGTTTAATATAAGTTACAACGTAAAATTATAGTATTAATAGATTTTTGTGATATTTCTACTGAAATTGTTACAAAGCAAGTTTACTCAGATGTTGTTTTAAAGTGATATTCGTATAAATTAATTTTTCTCAATCGACCAATTATTTTAAGAAACTGGCACAGGCCTGAAGATATCGTGAGATAGCGTATGTGGCGCCATCTGTAGTCAGCCAGAGGAAACTTCTCCACGTATCTCAATATTCCGCCATGTTGATGTACGTTCGAACGTTGATGTACGTTACTCCCGAAAAATAATTACTCGGGCAAAAACGAGGCATAAACTCACCAAAACACGGAAGCGCCGAAGCTCAGCATCCATCTCACCAAACAGAAGTAAAGCGTCTTTTCCGTTTCACTCGAGCGTCTTCGGGTTTGTCACGATCTGGCCCCCTCCACCCCGCCCCCGGTTGCAAGCGTCGAGAGACATCGCATTCCTCGGCATTCACGCAGGACAATTGGTAAGTTATAACGATCGCCCGTCATTAGATTCGGCACTCCCGGCGTTCGTTCACGCGCGAGACCTGCTTCTGCTGCGGAGAAATAGACGCAACGAACACGAAGTGTTTCGTGCTCCAAGGATGCTATCGCTCACACGACTCCATATTTCGACGCGACGTGATAGACACCGATCGCGAGCATCGAGAGACATCGCGTTCAATCGCACTCACCCAGATCGATCCGTACGTTGAAATTATCGCCCGTCACTGAATTCGACACTCGGCCCCGCTTGGCAGGATCACGCGCGAGCTTCACTTTCGACGGGTAAAAAGACGCGAGGAGCGAATACGACCCGAGTTCATAATACCGCGCAACGACGTGAATTGCTGCAACCAGCGTGAACACGGCTGCGTTCCGATATGCACTGCTAGCACTGAAATTCTATAGTATACGTGACACAAACTATGTATTTTCAGTACCGGCAGTGAATTTCGGAACGCAGCCTACGTTTGAATCTACATTTGAATTATTTTTCAAGTATGCGTAGCTCAACGCGATTGGCAGCGCTGCGATACTTCGAGAATCTCAATAACTACGATATGTGCCTCTATTATTATTCGCTCCCGGGCAGAAGGATTGCGGGAAAGATCGCACGAAGTGGCCGTTACAAATCCGAGAAATCGTTCTGCAGTTTTGGCTTACCAAAAGTAAATTCCGCGGGTGATCCGTCGCCATCGAGAATGTCGAAAATAGATTCCGCGCGTTCGTTATGAGAAACCTGCTGTCGAAAGCGAATATTTCACGAATATAGTTCGTCGGGAGTGTCGAGTGAAGTGATACACGTTCGTCACGTCATGGCGGTTTGGGATTCAAACCCCTGCCTTTTATAGTCTGCCAAGGGTCTCGCGCGCAAATTACTGCTGGAACTGCCGAAAGTAAACTTTAGGCGTTTGTCGTAAAAAACACAACCAGTAGCCACAAATACATCACGGAAAGGACCGTGTCGTGAATGAAGCATTGCATTCGTTATCTTATGAAAATTGAGGATTTACATCGTTACGTCCGTTGCTTCCGATCTGCTAAAACAAAGGTAAGTGTAACAATAAAATCTTGATTTCTTTAAAACGAGATTAACCTTGTACATTGACAAGACATTAAAAAATGTTTGCATATCATCTGTCAGATATGGTAAACGTAAATCGTGAACGTTATTCGCTCAGAAATAACGTCGCAATATACGTGACTAATAATATTTACGATCAACGTTTACCGTATCTAAGAGATGGTATTGCAAAAACTCTATTATTAGAGATCAATATCAAATCAATCTTAAATGCTTTGTTTATATTCACGGTCATTCCGGTTGTCTGTATGTACACACACACATATATGCGTGTATAAATTTTTTGTTATAAATAAGCATGAGCAACAACGTAGTTTTTGCATCAAGTATATATTGCATATAGGAATATAATAGTTTCACGAAAGTTGATTATCTTTTTATATACGTTTTCATGATTTATATAAATATAAATAAAATAATTTTTAGTGTTGATATTATTCTGTAAAAATTAAAGTGCTTTGTGTGCTCAAACAGATATATATATATAGTAAATAATTAATAATATTTACCAAATAAGAATAATCTTATTATCATTAATAAAGAATAAATGATTTTTTCATTATGTTATATATTAACACTGACTGTGGAATAAAAGATATCTGCTATATTATAAAGTTCATTACTAAAACATAATTTTTTATACTGATACGTGATAATTTATACATTTAAAAATAATTGGTAAATGTGTTAAATACAATGATGTTTTGGTAAGATAATGGGTAAAGATAAAGATAAAACTTTACAAAAATCTACTAAAAGCTATTAAAAAGCAGCTTATATATTTATAACTCTGCGAAATTGAAAATATATTAAATGTATATAAAATATATTACACAATATATGTAAAATATATTGTGTTTAATATGTCACTATATATGTGTGTGTGGTGTGTATGAGTGTGTAACACATATATATCATACTAATTTTCTTTTGCGACATAGAAATATTACTTATTCCTTATTTATTTAAATAAATAGAGTGACTTTCTTTTATGACAAATGTCGAAATATCAAATATTAATATGATATTTTCATACAGCTAAAATTTGTATTGATAATGGAAACTATACATTCATTATTACATAGTAATATTATTACAAGTAGCAATATATTATATAAACTATTTAACAGAAGTTCTATCTCAGTTATGTCACTAAATTATATCAAAAGAGTATATAAACTAATTATCTTTCTTGTCAATAATTGCTATTAACAACTTCTTTACTAAGATTAACAATCTACCGAATTAATTTACTCATATATTGTACATACGAACTTCAAATTATTTAATGTTACATCATATTTATATATTTCTAGACTATATAAAAAACATACATTTTCGTATATTACAATAATACTATATTTTTGTACTGAATTCCATGAACGAACACATGAGAAGAGATTTACGAAGAACTTTTAAAATATATGCCGAAATATATCAAATTTTTTAAAACAATATTTTTATTTCTCCAAAGAATTTCGAAAAAAAGAATTTATAGCTATGTGAAAAACTTTCAAATATTTAAGATGCGAATATCCGTATATTTTTTCATTGAATATATACAAGGTGTCTGGTAATTAGCTGCCAACCCGAAGTGTGAAGGTAGATTGGGTTAAAATAAACATAAAAGTCTCATACCGTTTTGCGAGATTCGCAATAATTAGACGTAGGTGTGGCGAGATAAAACACGAGATAAAACAAAAATAACGGCGCATTGTCCTTCCGCTCGCCGCGCACCGGTAACAGTTGCTGGGTCGACTGGGTCGACCACGCTGTAACCCGAAAGGCTACGACGCTTCTCCAATCATCTATGTTGTCGCGCTCCCACTCCTCAGATTTCTGTCATTAATAACTCGATAATTATTGCGAATCTCACGAAACGGTATGAGACTTTTATGTTTGTCTTAATCCAATCTACCTTCGGGTTGGCAGCTAATTACCGGACACCCTGTATATATTAATATGCATTAATAAATGTATATATTAATTATTTATAAATTATTAATATATATGTATTAATATATATATATATGAATTATTTATAAATTCAACAAAAGTAATTATAAAGACTGATGTAGTTTGATGTAGATTTACAATTATATTGCTGCTACTTAAGATATGATTCGTATGGAAAACAGATCAATATGAAACCCGATAGAAGACACGAATCAACCAATCTTAATTTTTTTTAATCGGCAAATAGTGGATGATCTGAAACGTTTTATCGCAAACATATTATCAATCGTATTGTATAAAATTGAACAAAGCATCAACGTTCTCTTTTTCTGACTCGACCTGATGCGCGACTTCCGTAACATCTTCTGGCAAAAGCACTTGATCTATAAGTACAGTTTCAGTATCTGGCTCAACGATTACGATAGAATCTTCTTCTTGAAACTGCTCTTGAAGAAGATCGTTCGATTTCGTTGTGGTGTTTCTCTTTCGTCTCACTTTTGGCCGTTCGGTGTGAACCTGCATGTGTCGTCGTAGGTCGTATTTACCAACAAATTGCGCTTGGCATACATCGCATCTGAATGGCTTCTTATTCGTATGAGACCACATATGCCTCCGTAATGCGGCGCTAAACGTAAATGCGACTCCACATACGTTACACACATGAGGTTTTTCGCCTGTATGCAGTAGCCGGTGATCCTTTAGCGTGGCACGCTGGTTGAAACTATCATAATCAGAAAATAAGCATATTAATATGACAGATGTCGTTAAACGTACATTCCAAATTCCATACAGGAATTTGTAACACTAAAGAATTATTTCCCATGTAACAGATCTATCGACTAAATGATTATTTAGATTATTTATGTTGATCTCTTCATATCAAGATCGCTTCAACATCAGCATGATACCGATAATTTTGGCATTGCTACTAACCTTTTGTTACAAACATCGCATGAGTAGCTACGTGGATTAGAATGTATCCTCGCGTGATTTAGCAAATTGCCTTGCTGTGAAAATGATTTCCCACAAACTTCGCACGAGTACGGCCTCTCACCGGTATGAACACGTATGTGTGTAATCAGTGTCCGATTGTTAAGAAATCGCTTGCCACAGACTTTGCACGGGTATTTAGGCAGATGACGACCCTCTGGATCCAAATGACTGATCAAGTGGCGCTTGTAATTGCCTTTGTGATTAAATGTACGCGAGCATTGGCTGCAGGAGAAAGGTGTGCCGTGTACATGCGTTCTGACGTGAGTCTCCAAATCTGTCTTCACGGCAAAGCGAACTCCGCATTTCGGGCATCGGTAGCGCGGCAAGTCTGCATGGCACACCATGTGTCGTTTGAGATAACGCTTTCTGGTATATGCCTTACTGCATAAGAAGCACGTGTATGGCATTCGACCAGTGTGTGTTTTCGCGTGCGCTCGCAATTCTCGGTGGCTGTCACAGTCTTTCTCGCATACTACGCAAAAGAAAGGCCCGCTACTTGGAACGTGATTGTCGACGATATGCAGCAATGCACCTATTAGATGTTCGTAATTCTGCAAACACAACGCACATTGGTATATAGTCTCGTTTCCTTGCTTCAACTCTTTTATTCGCGTTATCGTGTCGTTCAGACTACCCAATACGTTGTCCTTAGGATCGATAAAGTAATCGGAGTCAGATTCATCGGTGTTCTCCGTTCTCAGCAACGACTGTTCAATGTTCGAATTATTTTCTCCTTCGCTCATTTCCTTGTTTCCTATCGAATCATCATTCTGATCTGCTATAGTATATTTCTCTCTCGTGTCTGTTTTAAATTTCACTGAGCTGGAAGGGCATATGTCGTGTGGAATCTCTTCGATATTCTCCTCCTGTTTATCTAATATTTTTATAGCAGTTATAAGTGTGTCGTCATTGTCCTCGATTTTTTCTTGATCTATATCAGATATCGTAATTTCTGTGGTGGAAATATCATTGACCATAGATTTTGGTATGTACATTAAAGTATACTGCTGCGGATTGAAGATCTTTGTAATATCCTCTGGTACCTCGGTTTTTACAGAACATATAGAATCTGTATATTCCATTCTAGTTTCTTTTCTGCACTCTAAATTAGATAGAACATCATCCCAACTTAAACTATTTTCCTTGTCGTCATCATAGTTCCCGAGTAAATAAGAAACATTGGTCATAATTTCTTGCTTGTCCTCATTTGTATCTTTTATCTCAGTTGTCAAATTCTCTGAAATATCGATACTAGAATCATGCGGTAATATAAATTCCAAGGGTTTATTTATTTGCGTAGGAATATCTATATTATCTTCTTCATCTGATAGTTCTTTCTGAAAAAAAAAAGAAACGGCATAGAAAAAATTTTAATATTGAAAACTTTACTATATATGACAATTTCTTTTTAATTGATTCATTTATTAGAATTCAACTCACAACATTAATTTTACTTTATATATATGTTACTTATCGGCTATATAATTTGTCCTATTACAGTACCTTAAGCTTATGTTTTTGTTTTTCAAACATCTTTAAGAGTTTCCTGTATGTTTCTTGTACTTGCTGCTTGAAATCATATGAGGCATGAATACGATAAGCACACTTACAGCAGAGCTTATTGGGTAATCCATCAAACCTGTGAATCTATTAAAAAAATGTTCATCAGCATGCTGCAAATTAACTACAGTAGTGTAAACATTCTTTATCTTCAGCTATAGCTAACTTTAATGAACTATAAAGTTTCATTTAATAATTTAATGCGGTCCACGCAAAATAATCATTTGATACTTCAGCAACGAATTAGTTACATAAAATTAAAGTTTATTACACATATGTGAGTTCAATTAGTCATTACTGTTGAGCAAACTACATAAACGAGTGCACGTAATGTTAAGTATGTAACTTGGTCTTTTCCCACCAAGTTATAGCAAGATTACAAGATCACCCGTACAATGTATTTTGTCCAAAAAATTTCGGCGTCTGTTGAAAGACATAATTTGCTCACTTTGATAGACGTTAGTTCCATTAGCTTATCCGGCAGATTCATGCCCTTGATTTCATTGTTGTCATACATCGACAGCAGTATACCGTCGGTTTTCATACAAGCACGGCACATATTCATGTATTCACTGATTTCCCAGCTCATGGTTGTATGTGATGTGGTAATAGTCGAGTACGGACTGGTAATGACAATTACAGTAAATACACGACATAAACATACGCAATTCGCATTTCCCGGTCGGTGTGGTTAGGACGCGTTTTCCTGCAATCGACAATGGCCGACATTTGTGGACATTTGCTACAGACGTGCGCTTGCATCAGTAGCTATCGCAGCGCCAGAAGATTATTCCACAAAAGTTGCATCCACCGTATACTAATGCCCTCTCGAAGGTATTACAGCAAGGCTGAAGCTTGTGTTAGACTGCGCATTGGGTATCAAGGATTCTGAATTGGAGGTTAAAATTTGAACAATCAAAATTACAATTATTCATACAATCGTAAACGTTTAACTTTAGAAAATACAAAAGACGAAAAAGAAACTGCGTATTTGAAAAAATTAAATACATGCAGTATAAAAATATAACAGCGAATAACTATAATATTAATTTAATCTATGCAAATCATATACAATGAGTTCTCTACATAAATAAGCTCAGATCTGCAAAATCTGCAAAAATATATTAAACTGTCACACATATACATATAGTCAAGTTATCCACCAAAAGGATTTTTCGTTAACTAAAGTTATAAAAATATTACAATGTTTTGATAGAATTTAATTTTATATTCTTTCTTCTCTAATCATTTGTTTTCTTTTCACAGGGAGAAGTCAGAACTAAATACGGATTCAGGATGAGGAGGAAAGGAAAAACACGCTTAAAACGTGAGTTGAGTGAATTTTTTTAATTAAACAAATTTAATTAATCTGCTGCCAATTTTTTTATGTACATACGTTTTGAAACGCAAACTTGTATTGTTTTACAATTAAGTATATAAGAATCTGTCACAACTTATTATTACTGATTTTCATTAATTTTTTTATTTTACTAAGAACATATCTAACAAGCATATAAAAATGATCGTATTAAGCATTTTCAGTTTCCGATTTTGTAAAGAAATGACCGAGAATTCTACATATTCTTAGAAGCTCCTACTTTTCATTATTATGTCGGGATTGTTAATCATCTCCTACTGTGTTTCAATCTATAAATCTCATCAGAGTCATTGATTTGCATTTAAAGACTCAACTACGTTGAATCACGATCCCGCAGTTTGTGTTTTCTCCGTGAAAACGATGTAGAAGTTAAGGATTAAGTGGCAGAGTAACTTTTGGCAATAAGAATTAGCGTCAGATGCAGCGATAACGGGTATAAATCCCGATGATAAGGGAGAAGTGAAATGAGTTCTCGGCTCGTGCGAAGTTCGCTGAAGAAAACCGGCTTTATTTTGCATTGAGTTCCGGCTCGCGTCACTCGCACGAGTTGCAGTTTATAATGCACACCCGAAGCGAGCGAAAACTTCGCGTTGCAAACGGCCTGTCGCTTTACACGTGCAGATCGTGTTTGTCGAGCGACGCATGCATTTGCATTGTTCGCGGCACCATTAAATCGTTCATACCTAATATACGTAGTAGTTTCTCAAGTCACTGGATGCGTTTCGTATGTGAAACGTAAGGCAAATTCATGAATTAGTCTCAATAATCGTCATCAGTGCTTCGGAATTCCTGTTACTTACTCATAGCGATAGACTTGTTGGAAAATCCGCAACAGAGAAACGATTTCTTACACACTGCGTTTAAAGCTGTGAGTGCTGGATTAATTGAGCCGCATTAAATTCTTCGCGCGCTGAAACGACTTGTAAACGTTTCACGGGAATAACGGAGGATGAAGAGTTATGCATTACTCACTGAAACTTACTGAAACATTATTCACTCTCTTTCACTCTCTCACTCCCTCCTCCCCTCCTCTCTCTCTCTCTCTCTCTCTCTCTCTCTCTCTACATTATAGTTCCATTACTTCAAATAGATACTTCTCACGAAGGTATTTAGAGTACGTGCGCGTACCGAACAAATCAGTATAACGAGTATTCACGTCCAGGCAATATTTTCTTGTGAAAATCTGTCGTTTCAACACCGACTGGATTCGTAGCATAGTCTTATATGACTACGAGATAATAATTAATTTGGTTAAGATAAAGTTGGATGTCACCAAGAAAAATAACATATAATCTTCAAACAGCATTTGATACATTTTATTTCGTGTAGATACGCTTTGTTGAAGACAAGTATTATCAACAAGAATTTTCATATATTTTTGTCGCAATTTATTTTATATTTTCAATTATTAAATTCAATTATTCAATTATTAGATGCGTTTATAAATAACCGTGAAATATAAAAGACTTTGAATACTACATATTCAACACACATCGAATGAATCGTCCGAAATACTGTTCTCGTTTCAAACTTTTTTGTCGTATAATTTGTTGCATTTAATAACAGAAGTGCATAGCAAATGAGTATGTGTCTTTTTTTTACGTTTTTGCGAATTCATATTTCATATTTATGCAGTCACAATTACAATCAGTCGGACGCATTTAAAATTTAATTTGTTCCAACAATTCAAATTAAAGACGATATATATATATATATATATAACATGTTTTTTTTCACATTATTATTTTAAACGTGCCCGATTCTTATTGATCACAAACAGCCGAATGTAGTCTAGCGGAAAATACGTATCTGTTTAATTATATCGCCTAAACTTTTAATTCTTGCAATATCGCGGCTCCTTACGGGCGTTCAATGAATATCCTTGCGCTGCATGCTGCATAAAACTCTCGTGAAGATGTTTTATGAAATTACACTTGATAACGGAGGCGAGGTGCACAGGCAGTTGATTACGTAAAATTGCACGTATAAAATTTCGCGTGTATAATAATTAAGCGTAACAAAGCACCCGTGCAGCGTCGAGAGAGCTGATTAATCTGTTACACGGGCACGACTTATTCCGTTTATCCGATCGGCCGCACGTAGAGCAGTTGCCCGGTAATTGTCTCATAAGTCACGTTAAACTTATTAAACCTCGAATACAATAAAGCGCGTCTGGTGATGGCCAGGCCGTTAGTAGGTACGGTAAATAGAGTATGCACGCCGTTCATCGCAGGCGCATATTGCGCAGAGTGCATCCGAAGTCTTCCGGATTACACCAGTGCGGTTTACGCGCGCTAAATTATATTATATATTCACGTGCTAACCGTCCGAATTACTTACCCGCCGGGTACATGCACGCCGGCGAATCGCTTATCAACATTCATTGTCAGGTCGGTTATTCTTCATTAGATCTCCTAGAACGAGATATTTATTTATTTTAATTGACACCAAAATATCGAGACGCACACACACACACACACACACGTCGAAAAGTTTCTTCATAATATAACGCAACGTCGCGGTCGGATTTCATGCCAAGCAATTAATCGTTAATTAACGCGAAACGCTTCTTTCATTTTATCATGTTACGTACATTGTGCTTGCAGTGCTCTTGAAGTGCTTGCAACTCGAGCTGTCGAGCGGACGAACGGATTCGAGTGAGAAACGCCGATATTTCTAAATTTGTCTGAGTAAAAACTCAGAAACCAACTCCACTCGGTGTATCGAGATAAATTATTAACCGAAGAGCGAGCAGCCGAGACGGAGCTCTGGCTTACATCGCCGCGCTACATCGGGAGTACCTCCACCCGCCACGGGGTATCATTTCTTACGTTAACGTTCTCGGGAAAACTTGGTGGGACTTGCGTCCCTCGGGAAACGGCGTAATTAGTTCGCGTTGATATCCCCATTAGTGCGCAGCGCCAGCCGCAATCGTTCAGTCAGCCTCTTAGCCTGATTATACTCGGATCCTCGATCGTGCACGTTTCGATACGGTCGCGTTCTGTTGTACTCTTCGTCTCTTTCGAACCGCGTGTATCTGCCGTGTACCGCTTCATTTCACCTGTGGATTAAACCCGACGACAACGACGACGACGACGTTGTCGTCGATGAAAAGTCGATCGATCCGTCGAGGTGGATCGACAACGGGAGGCTCACTTTTCGAAACGCGGCCCATCCCTCTTCGGACGGTAGCCCTCCGTCGCAGCGCCTGCGCTCGAACACTTCCTATAAGAGACCGAAGGCCGCTCGCACCGGTTTCAGTCTGCCCCGCGGTACCGGCGCCGCGGTCGTCGTTGCGCGTCTCGTACAAGCCTCCTTCGAGGACGATACTCCCCGTCATGATGCTCCCCGGCTTCGACTGAGAGTGAGGGCGAGAGCTAGAGCGAGAGAAAGAGAGAGAAAGAGAGAAGGGCTCCTCTTTTCCTCCCCCTTCCCCTCCCGCCGCGATAAGCGGGCCAGCGTCGCCCGTCGCCGACGTCAGCAACGACCGTCGCTCTCTCTCTCCTCCTGGACGATCAGCGTACGTTGACATAAAAACACGGAAAACACGGAGCGGTATTGCGAGCGTTAGTTCTCTGGTCGTGGTTGTTGCGCGGACGTGGTGGTGGCTGCTGCTGCTGGTTGTGGTGGTGGTGGTGGTGGTGGTGATGGTGGTAGTGGTGGTGGTGGTGGTGGTGGTGGTGGTGGTAGTGGTGATGCTGCTGCTGCTGCTGCTGCTACTGCTGCTGCTGCTGCTGCTGCTGCTGCTGCTAGTGGTGGTGATGATGGTGGTGGAGGTGATGGTAGTAGTGGTGGTGGCGGCGGCGGCGGCGGCTCCTCGGGATCTCGCTCTCCGCGGCCACCCCCTATGCGCGCGGCATGTGGATGTGCCCTGTGTGTTATTTAACCGATTACCGAAAACGTAACTTCTATGATGGTGATGTTACTTGTCGCGTCGCTAAATAGTGGGATCGTCGACGGAGAACGAGCGCGGTGTTCGCTTTTCGGTGTTCGATAGCGGATATTGTGCGACTAATCTCCCCCGATTGGTAAACCCTCGACTGGAAGCTGTCTTTGGCCGTTGTGTTTTCTCTCAAATCTCTTCTCTCCCTTCTGTTTTCTCTCTCTCTCTCTCTCTCTCTCTCTCTTTCCTCCCTTCTTCCTTCCTCGCTCTCTTCTATGACGGATGATGTGTCGTTTCTTTTCTCTCTTTCGTTCTCTTGCGTTGCTCTGAGCAGTGGACGGATCTCTTTCGTTCTCTTATTTTCTCTCTTTTCTTTCTCTTCCTTTCTTCCCTTGCGTTGCCGTTTGTTGTTGCTGGATGCTGTTGCTCCTAGTTGTTGTTATTGACTAATGAATGAAGTTGTTGTTCGA